GGCATTTTTTTTTTTATCATAGTGCCGTGTACAAAGATCTGATAAGCAAAAAAGAGTGCCCACAAATTTTATTGTGCTGACAAGAGGACTTACCTTGCAAGTTAACCATGTTAACTCTTATCTTTTATTATTATCAATAACTATCATTTTAAAAAAGATGATAATATAATAAAATTGATCGATACAACGCTATTGTTTTCTAATCGACCGCCCCTCTTTAGGAATGCGTGACAGGCCACAGTAATTGAATTATTTTAAGCCACGCAAACATATATCGATCATTATATATTATTCAGCTGCTTCTTCCTCGTTAAAAAAAAAAAAAAAACAGACCTTAAGGGGATTCTAAGTGATGGTTCGTGTTTTTCTGTGGAAAGGAGAGTTATTTTTCCCCTTAGAAATGTGAAATGTGAGCATTATGTTTCATGTCAAGTTGTTGAAACGACGCATCTAAGGCTAATTTGCATACGGAAAGTGAAGTCACGTTCATCGTCGACAAGAAAAAAACCCAAGAAAAAGCGATTACTAAGTTTTCTCCACATCTTTTTGAAAGTTTAACACATTTAAAGGGTCTAATGACATTTGGTGATAACTAGAAACGTTAAAGCTGTGGAAATTAGTCGACGAGATGCAGACCGTTACAATTCCAGCTTTGCTGTCAAAATGGCGAATTTTGGAACATTAACGGAACTTTGTACAGCACGCAAAGAAGAGTGCCCACAAATTTTATTGCATTAAGAAGTAGACTGGTCTTAGTACTTCTGCTTTATCATAGACTTGAGTCTGGGTCAGGTGCCACTTTTGCGAAATTACCGTTCAGCTCTAGCTATGCAAATTAATTTTCCCGATAAGCAAATTAAAGGTCATTTTAAGAAAATCATATCTCAGCTACATTTCCACAGAATGCAACCATTAAACCTTGAAACTATTAACCAGAATTAAAACTTTTGTGTGTAAAATAATCAGCTTATTCGGCTATGTAAGGTAGGTTTGACAGAGCCCTAAAGTTTCACCAAAATCGCACCACTTCCGACTGCAAACTGGCTAGTTTTAGGTGACCTAGAAAATCTCTCTGTAAAATAGAGGAAAAATTGAGTTGGTCCAAATAAATGTGATATTTCTTCATGGGATAGGATAGTTATCTTCCACTGAAAAAATCAGGGCAATCCGTGATAGACCAAAATTTGCCTTATCGGTTCTTACGCGGACAGCCTCTTAAACAATAAATTAAAAGGAGACAACTGACTTTTTGAGGGGAAACTTTCTTAACTGATGTTATTGAATCCTTTATATGCGAAAAAAAAAATTGCGCTGTAGAATTACGTTTAAAACCACTGCGCAATTTTCTTGCGTAAAGCTAATAGGCATCGTCCGAAAAGAGTGGGGGGTTACCGGTTTAATTTTGTAGTTAGTAGTGCTAAAATCTTAAATATTGAATAACCCTTGGAATACGTTGCCATAATAACCGTGAATGACGAAACAACAATCATTTTTAGTCAAGCACTCACTGTTTAAGGGGGCAGGTTCACGGTTCAGCGCATGCCCATTTATCAAAATGCTGTTTTTCTGCCGGGACATGCCGTATCGTCTATGCATGTAATACGATCACGTCATAATGTTGCAAAGAACCAATCTCCACACTCCCCTGACAGTCACTTGCACTTGATCAACTTAAATATTTGCAAATGGCTGTAAATTAATCACCCATGGAATAAAACCTTCGGGTCAACAATGAATTCAACTTTAGTAGTGTTGGTATAATCCACCAATTTTTTCTGCGATTTTAGTACTCCTCCATCCTACTTCAGGTTACTCTGAAATACACTTCTACTTTGAAATACACTCTGAGATCGCTGAGATACATGTGAGTGGGATTATTAACCGATAGAATTAATAATAAATTGGTAAAAAGTAATTTAATTAATGAGCACGCGCTTAACCGTGAACCTGTCCCTTTAATCTAACTTAGGGCCTGTTTACATGGAAGTGGGGGACCCCAGGTAGGTGAGGTAACCCGCTTTGGTGGGTAACTCGCCTGTCCACATAATGTCTCATTTTAATTTGATCACGTTTACATGATAGGTGGGGTGACCCGCTGCATGTGGGGTCCCCCACCTCCATATAAACAGGCCCTTAACAAAAGTGCCTCTATGACTTTGCATAAAAGACGCATTTCAAGGCCGTGAAAAGAAAAGAAAATTTTCTGGTTTTAATTAGATGTTTATTTGTATTTAAAAGATGGTGTATTGGGTGCCATTTTTCAGTGGAAGGTAAATGAAAGGCGTACCTTTTCTGCCATAAATGGAAAATAAAAGTTTAAGGACCCCCCCCCCCCCCGGTTAAGGGGTTGGACCTCGACGGCGGAGTCTCCCCGTATAACATTTTGTTCAGTAGCCCCAGGCCTCATTTGCAGGAACAGAGACTTTGTAAACAGAAACCTTCGTAGTTGTAGTCAGTCTAAGGTTTTCGCTGTCCCCGATTGTCACTTTCGTAGCGCTTATTCTGTCGGCAAAATTATTTAGGGTGACACGACAAACAGCACTTTAAATGTGTCATTACTACGACTTTAATAACTATAGGAGAGGTCAAGAAAACCTTGATATGTACAATACTACTTTACAACAAATATTTCAAATGTGCGACACAAAATTTATAATCACACGTAGTGTATTCATATTCTTGGCCGTGAAACTATGATAGCTTGTAGTTGAGGTTAACGCTGGAGAATATCATTACTTAAAGTAAAACGGAAAATGTTTCAATTTTCTCTGAGCTTACCGGCACAATGAACCATAGGGTTTTAACCAATCAGAACGCGCGTACTATCTTGGTTATTTTATAAAATGAAATAAATGCATGCAAGAAAGTCACCGCTCGTATTTACTGGAATAAGCACCGCGGCCCCGAAATAGTCAAAATAAGACGTCAATTCTGTTAGTTTAACACGGAAAATAACAATATCTTAATTACATCAACTCTTTGTCGCGTCCAACTTTCAAGCTATTCGAGTAAAAACAATAATGCAAATGTTGTGAACATTGTGTCTGGCTGACGAAAAGTACTGCGAACAACTTGTAACCGGCTACTGGGAGGTTCAAGAAATCAAAGACGCAAATCGCAATTCCACTATTAGGTTAAACGCGATTCTTACAAATGGCGTCAGGCTAGCGTCAGGCGTGCTGGTACTAACTGCACCCCCGTCAGCCACACCCCACTTTACAAAAATTATACATTGAAAACATATAGGTAGTCATTTCATCGAATTTGAACCAGATCTCTTCAAAGCCATTTATAAACGCAGTAATTTAAAAAAGGCCATAAATTGTCCTACTAAAGGCCAACCTAATATACGAGGAAATGCAGGTATCACAATGAAACGTATACAGTCAACTCCCTCTAAGACGGACACCTTTGGGACCGGCAGTAAGTGTCCGTCTTAGAGAGATGTCCGTCTTATAGAGAGTCAAATAAAGGGAGTAAAGAAAGGCAGGGACAAACTCTAGGTGTCCGTTTTAGGGAGGTGTCCGTTAAGAGAGAGTCGACTGTATATAAACTACGAATGCCCAACTGAAAAATGTACCCTGGGGTGGGTACTGTATTATCATCAATCGAACCTCCATGTGCGACCACCTGTCGTAAGCGACCACCTCCCATAAGTGACCGCCAATCCAAAAGACCAAAATTTTCCCAGTCAAAGCCTTACAGTTGGAGCCTCTAGTAAACGACCACCTTCTGTAAGCGATCGCGACCTTTTTCGAGCCTGACGGTTAATGATTTTCCATTGTTTTTAACCTCTTGTAAGCGACAACTTGACGCATTCTCTGATCTCTACGGTTCACTGTGTGCACTATGCTACTTAGAATATATTGCATGCATTAAGTTATCTTCCATAAAGTAGATGTGCCTGGACCTCTCCTCGGAAGAGGTGCCCTATAGTTCGATTCTTGTAAGCGACCACCTCCCCTAAGCGGCCACTCAGCCTTTGCATTTCTGGTGGTCGCTTACGGGAGTTTCGACTGCACATTACAAGCAGCTGTTACGTACACTGGTATCTTACCACATATTCAAAAGGTTGAGCATCACGCTTACGTCAAACGGCAAACGCGAATTTTTACCACGTGACCAAGTTTCCTCTTTACTTGTCTTTTACTGTTCATCATTTCTACACACAAAGTAGTAGTTTCACGCAATTTTATCCATAAGAATTGTTTTGAGCTGTTTTTATCTGCTCATTTTCTATTTTGAGAAATTCTCAACTTGAATGTTTCAAACGTCAGGCTGACGTTCGGCGTTTGCTGTATACGTGAAGCTAAAACTTTCTAAAATTCCTGTGTAGACTGGTGTCTGACACAAGAAAAAAAGCTTATTTTGTAAGAAGTGTGATTACCGCACTAAAATGTATGATTATATGTATATTTTATGATCACAAGTCAAATATGTATAGAGCGTATGTGTTTTAAATGCGCTTAAAAGGAGAAAGAAAATGCCTGCATGGAACCAGGAAAAATTGACAGTTATTTTGAAAACCCGAGCTGCTCCAAGCGCACCAGTATCAAGCGTAGAATCTGTTAATTTGATTTCCCTAAAAGAATGACTGTTACTTCTGTTTATAACCAAGCTCAAACAGCTGACCTGTTTATGGCAAGTATCCTTTAAAAAATAACGGACAGTTTCGAAACATTTTACAAGCAACTTTTACTTTCAGGGAATCAAATCAACTGACTCCGTTCATAAATACATTAACAACTATATAAATATTGGTGTTTTTAAGTACTCTATAACAGCTAACGTAAACTTTACACATGCGGTGCAAGCATGGACTAACTGAAACCTAATATTGACACCTATAATTCGTAGGTTATTGGGTCGCCCTATGTTACCTCGTCCCCAGGCCCTTTGCAGTAAAAGGAGACGGGAAAAACAAAGACCCTGGGAACGAGATTTGTAGAGCTTATACTTGCATAACATGTGTAACCTAGACAACAGAAGAATCCACCGTTCTAAATATGCCAAAGGCAAGTGCAGCACTTTACGGGCTCATAGCAAATTCCTCGCCGTTCACGTCGGTTGAGAACAGAATCTGGCCACAGATAGTTCATCAACCAAAACGGGAGCATGATGACCAGAAATCCTGTAAAACAACAGAATTTTTGTATTGAGTACACTTTATAATAGGCAACGATGAAGTAGTCTTCTTCGGAGCCGTTATTAGGGTCGTCACACAACGCTCCTCCCACCAGTGGGGAAGAGTTTTGCGTGACGACCCTAAAAAACGGCTGCGAAGGAGACTAGCGATGACGAGCATAACACACTTACTGTAAAACCGCATACCTAAGTGCGAGTGCGCGAGGGAAAAGTGGGGGGTGGGTGGGGGTTAGAGAAGGGGAATCCCTTCCTACTTCCACGTGCACCCGAACTTCTACTTTTCTATTCCCCTTCGAACGCCTCCTACGTAGACTACGATACTAGGATCCGGCTAGCCTAAATTGTGGGCATAAATGCGATATCTATTTAATCATATGCTTCACTTTCACCTTTTAAACCCGTAAAATCTCAAATCTCGTGATACGCGATTGTTAAAGCGGTAATAAAAAGAGGCGATTGGTTTTTTAGGTAGGAGGCCCTTGGACTTTGTCACGAACAAAACCGTGCAGTAAAAAAGGCCGTGCTTTCATGAGAGAGATTAACTTCGCTTAACGGTAATCACAATTTGTATTCTTCAGTTACGTTCTTTACACGACTTATTAACCAAGGTGGGAGACAAACAACCGATAGTTTGTGCGAGAAGTGTACGCGGCAGGGACGAAAAATTATTATGTCCTCAAATTTTTCACTTGTAGACTGTTGGCATCTAGACGTTGAAGCAATTCCTGTGTTCTGATTGGCTTTCCAAGCGGCCAAGAAGGGTCTTTATACAGCTATTTCGAAAAAAGGTTCTCGGAAAAAGCGCTCGCGACAAACCCGAAAGGTATTTTGGGTGGTTTTGAGATCACTGTTCTTCATAGAAATTTTGAAAGAATGGCACGACAGGCCATGGACTATGTTTCCGAGTGCTAAAGTGAAGCAGCAAAAGTAGGTTCGACAGCTACAGTGTCAGAAACAGTGTATTGATCATATCCCATATTACCTTTCGGGATTGTCGCGTGCAATTTTTTTCCGACAACCTTTCTCGAAATAGCTGTATGTGTTGTGGTTCAATTTTATCCTTGGTTTAAAATTTAGTTTTCTTTGTTTCAAACAAATTCATTATCATACATTATCATACCCAAAAACAAAAGAACATAAAATTGAAACCAAAGATAAAATTGAACCACAACATACACCTAATTGCATTCACGTTGTCATAAAAAAAGCAAAAGACAAATAAAAATCGACAAATAGGAATTGATTACAGTGTAGCCATGCAAAAGACCTTTTGATAATTTGATAATCCTGTGAACACATTTGCAGTACTTTAATCTCACATCAGTTGAGTTAAGCAAAGCTTAAATGGCCACTGATGTTTTCTGTTGATTCCTTAGTCTGACATCCCTGATTGTAGTAGAACGTTATTGCAATTAGGTTTATATATGCGTTATTGACCAAGAGTGAGGTCAAGATTGATATTGGGTAAGTTCTTTTTTGCGTTTTGCGAAATCGACGCCAACAAATACGCAAAACAAGAAACAGGCCAATATAGAGCCACCTTGACTGAACAAGCTTGGTCTATAGAGAGGAGAAGTGTGACGTCACGTTACCACGGTAGCAAAATTTCTGGATGACAACAATAGGGAGTTTTTGCAACGGCGACGGCGACCAGCACAAAAAAAAAACAATAGGTTTAGATTGGCAAAAAATCAACTTTGCACGTGCATCACACTTTTCTGTACATTTCTTAGCCGTTGTTGCACGACTGCGACATGAAACGTCCTATTTCACGCGCCCGCTTTATGCAGTAGGTGAGCACAAGACAAAAAGTTTCTTTTTCTTTTTCTTTTTCTAAACTTAGATACGGTCATTTGTTAAGTTATATCAGCATTAATTTGACAAATTAAATGAAAGTGAATAAGATCGATGAAGTCTGAAACAGTGCGAATTTACTTTTTAAGGGAATTTTCGGTTTGTTGTGATCAAAGAAATTTACTACTTTGGCAACATGACGAAACGACTTCTCCTCTCTATAAAGACTATATTATACGGCCAAAAAGGACACAGAAAGATCTTTTCTTGCGCAAATAAGGCGAGAAATTCCGAGGAGATACGCAAATAAGACAAGCCTTCCTTGCCTGCTTGGTATCCAATCAAACACAAGATTCACTTTATCTTGCGCGCTTGGGATTTAGCCATATAATAATATGCTTAATTGACCAAGCATGACAACAAAATGACAGGATGATAACCTTGCTCTTTTTCTGCATTTTTTGTAAGACCTCAACTTTGGTCCATAAAAACGGAGAGTAAAAACCTTGGCCAATATTCAGCCATCTTGATCTCTAAACTTTGGTCAATAATGCATTTTATGTTTCTTCTTCAAACAAACTGGTTTGAATATGGCTGAGGGGGCCTGAGGCGGCCATTAAACTTCACACAGGGGTGAGATCAAGAGCTTTGAAACTAGTATTTTTTTTCTATCTCTACCACGCTTCTCTTATCTCTCAGCCAAGATTTCAAAAAAGTAAGTTGTTCCTTAAGACCACCTAGTCCGCTATTGTTACAATTACAGACCACAATTTACACAATGTAAGCTGATTAACTCAACCAGTGGCCTTGGTGTTTCCTTCACGTCTCACAAAACAGCAACTACACAATCTTTAACACATTCGAGCACTGCAACAAGTTAAACTCATCACTAAAATTTAATCATACACTGCTACAATGTACAACATCTCCATGTACCAGTTTTTTTTAGACTATTTGCCTAACGAGATAGACGCTTAACACATGTGTCAAACCTACCCGTTGTAAGAAGAGCAAATATCCCAAATGACAGACATAAATAGTACAACTCAGGAGCATATCCTTGCTAAACAAGAGAAAGAACAAAGGAGAATTATTCACAGTGACTTTAATAGTGTACCTCGCTGCAATGTCAGGATATGTTAGCAATAGGCCATGTGACTGGAAGTTTGCACTATCTGAGGTGCTGTATTCAGTGTGTTTAGTGTCAGATAGCCAGGGGCTAGTGGATTTTGCTATCTGGCTAGTGAATTCTGCTTTTAACTTGCCCAATGAGCAAGTGATGGTTTTTGAGGAATCTGAATAACAGAAGAACTGTGAAATCAATTCTGCTCATCAAAAAGCTTTTGCCGTGGGGCTAGTTGAAATGACTTGTGGGCTAGTAAATGCTAGCTTCAGCTTGCCCGATTGACAAGCTGTAAAAATGATTTTCTTTTCACCCTGTGTGTTTGGGTTGGAGAATGGAGCCTGGGTGTTTTTGAATGGATTGTGATCCAGTTTTTTTCCTTTCTTGGGGAGTTGGGGCCTAAATTTGTAGGATTTGCTTTGGTATTACTATTAAATTGCATTAGGCCACTTTCCTTCTACTATCAAGATCCTTCAGGGTTTTTCTGGGGATTTTGTTATGTAAACTTTGCAGGGAGAACCAACTTTAATAAACTCCGGTTTATTGGCAACTATTGAGAACACCTGGGATTGTGAGGATGTTCCCACTTCCTGCATGCTTATATAACTTAACAAATGCACTTGGCATACACTTGACTCCTGATAACTCAAACCTCGTGCTAACTCGAACTAAAGTTGATTTCTCTTGGATTTCCTTTACACATTTACTGTAATTTTACCCAAGATAACTAGAACCACCCGCAAACTCGAAGTAATTTTTGTTTCCTTTCAAGTCATTTCTACATAATTTTACCCTTGATAACCCGAACCATGCTTTAAGCGCATAAAAAGTTGGAAAAAAAAACATTGTACTGAAGTCTGAAACATTGAATTTAGAGAGATTAAGCATCGCATTTACTGCAAACGTGAATTTGCACCATGTGACAAAGTTTTCCATAATTATTACTTATCATTAATACAGTTCATTATAACTACACGAAAATCCATAGGTTCACACTAATTCTTTCCATATCTGAAAATTTTACAACTAGAATCTTATGTTTGCCGGTTGCTGTAAACACAATGCTTTATCTCTCTTTTATTTCAAAACAACCATGTCAATTCTTTGTCCATCCCTCTATATTAATCAAGATTTGTTGCTTAATTCCTTTTTAGAAATAACAATTTTTATGTCATCCAATGCTGCCTTTGAAGTAGAGAGTGCATGATACTTGCATTCCCTCCCAATCCATTTGCTTCTTTCCCTGTTTCCGGTTCTTTGCCTCGCACTCGAGTTCCTGATCACTCAAACTTTTTTTGGTCTCCCTAGAAGGTTTGAGTTATCGGGAGTCAAACTGTACTTTTTAACTCTAAGGTTCCCATAAAAAACAACAACAAGAAAACACTCACACATAATTCAGAGGCAAATGTTGATGCAAACAGTACCATGCCAAGAATGAGGGATCCAAAGCCAAAGAAATGAAATGCAATCTTAAGCTGCCATGGCACAGGTTCCATGATTGTGAATAAAAATGTAAAAGCTGAGAGTAAAAATAAAAATGGACCTGCATTGACTCCACATGTTGCTGCACAAGTTCATGTTACAGTATTTATGTACATGTATAATATAAGCAAAAACACATGCTATGACTACCCCCTTTCCCCTCCCCAAGGGAAAAGCAGCCCCCACCCCTCTCCCCCAGACAATGTTGTTCTTTGTTGAGTAAGGTCAAATGAAAATAACAATGGATAGTGTATTTTGTAGAATGGCATGTCATGTGCATGTTGTGATTAAACAAGGTGTTTAGTTGGGTTGCACTTCACTTCAGAAAGCTGCATGCACTCTACAACATTGAAACCAGAGGGGATTAAAGAGGAGGGGGTGCTGCAACTACCATGCGGCACAAAATTAGCGATTTTTTGTGTTTTGCAGGAACTAATTTTCGCGATTAGGACAGATTGATTTTTCTTGCTGAGAATTAATTTTTACAATTTTTAGAAAGTACTCAGAAGATAGCATTGATGATATTTTCACTTTTATTGAGTATGTGTGATAGAAATACATATTTTCAAGCAATAAACCATTATTTCATTGTTTGTGAATGAAAGAGACAAGTTGTGATTGAACAGACATGATTTCTTAGTACTGTATTTTTGTGTAGCGAATTTAAGTTAGAGAATATTTACTCTGGAGTAAATTTTAGCAGGAAAAATGTTTGTGGTAATTTTAATTTGTGGGAACTTATTTCTGCAGATCGCTGGAAGAATCGCAAAAATTATAACCCTCAAAATTTTGTGCCACACGGTAGCTTCCAGGATATAGCACAAAGGACGGGATGTAATGAAGTGGTGAGCGATAATCAACTAATCTCACTTTTAGTGAGATATTTTGCAGCACATGCAAAATAAGCAAGCAAAAAGTCAAAGTACAAAAGCAAATCCACAATAAAAGTCATAGTCATGCTACAAGAAATTTTGCTGCCAATTTGTAGGCAGTTTAGAATAATTTCTTGTTGTCTGTAAATTTCAATTGGAAAGGGAATGTTTAGACCACTGTCAAGCCCTGAGCTACTACATGTAGTAGCCACAGATCAATATAACCAGAGACATATTATTAGCTGAAAAAAATTCATTGTTTGGTGAAAGAAACTCAGTGTCATGTTGGACGTTAGCACTACAAAAGAAACTGCCAGGAAAGAAGATGTGTTTTTGCACATATGTTGAACCTTACTGCAAATTAATAGTCACAGGTCAAAATTTTGCATATCACAAGGACGATTTTGCATTAAGACCTTCAATTTATCCTTGACCTCATTGATGGCATCCGCGATGGAAAATACCTCTTGAAAACCCCTGGAAACACCATTTCTGAGACTCTAAATTTCAAAATGACCCTTGATGCCGCAGCCTTCAAGAACTTGCGCCTTTGGTGCAAGTTCCAAAACCGCCTAGTACACATTATCAGCCTACTACTTAAAAACTTTTTGACAGCCCTGGGCTCCCCCCTCACCAAGGAATGGATGAAGTTTAGCTGTAATTATAATGGAATTTCAAAAGGTGTGTGGGTTCTTAACTGGAAGTTATGGATATGATCTGGACCTGCACATTGTTTTTTAAAAATTACTGAGGTTAAAACGAACACCAGATGCAGTAAGTACACTGTACCTATCATAGCGAATGTAAAAACAACACCTGCAACTGAGATGTTGAGCAAAGGTTCATCACAGGTCCAAGAGCTTGGAGGCCTACAGCAAATAAAATAAAAAGCACAAGTAAGTAATGTAGTAATTTCGCTTTAAAACGCGTTGGCCCCAGCTTATTGGCCACAGGTAGTTGATCCATTTTCTGCTCATTAACTGGCCAAAATGAACCAAAACAGCCCAAAGCACTGCACTGTTTATAAGTCAAGCACTTCCTGATGCTAAATATCAGCTTCTGAAGTTCAGGCACAGCCAGAAGGCAAAATGTTGATACTTTTACATTTCACTTAGTTTTCCTTCCCAGTTCTTTTGCAATTCTTTCCTCATTTTTTTTTTTTTGGGGTTGGGCTCCGGGGCAATAAATTATTACTAGGCTCCCACTCAGGTGAAAAAGTTTCAACAAAAATTATAAGGGTTGTGAATTAATGATTTTTCAGTAGAAAGTGCACGGTATGTGTATGGGTAAGTAGTCAATTTTCTGGTCAATCTTAGATGTTCATTTTACATTTTTTCTCTGGCCTGTTTGCCTGATTCATGCTCATGAAAGATTTCTTTTTCCTGCTCGAGTTGTAGGTGTCAAAATAGTCTATGACTATTCAAACCAATGACATCACAAGTAGTGCAAGGGATGGGGATCCTCATGGGCAGATATGGGCATTTGAAGGGTAAAAACACACCCCTCAAAAACCGAAGAGTTTTTGTACCTGCTCAAGTCACTGGCAGTTCGCAGCCCACATCAAAGACAGAACTAAACTTCTGGTTAATTCTGCCTGCAAAACAGCATCAATATCCTTGTTCTGGGCCTTCAAAAGTGTACCAGGGGTGTCATGATTTGCATGTCATAGTTGATTTGCCAATTAGGTTGAAGGAAAAATTGAAACAAATGTTCAGAAGTTAATTGACTCAGTTGTGGGCCCAAAATAAGGATATCAGCACTGCTTTGCAGACGTTACTGACCAGGGTTAGGTTACATGTATGTCTGCGATGCAGGCTAAGGCAGTCTCATCATACCATGAAAAGGAATTAAGGTTTAACAGAAGGTTACCTATAGAAAGATCTTTTTATACAGGTCAAAATTAAATTGAGGTAAAAATTTTTTAACCCAGGGTGATTCTTAATTTCCTTTGTCTCCTAGCCCTAAAATTATTCATGAACTAGGACTTGGAGACAAAGGAAATTGAGAAGCAAACTAGGTTAATAACAAAATTAATTTTATTGGACACTTTCTATGACCCATTCAATGTCCGCATTAACCCTTCAAGCCCCAATATCCACAAACAAATTCTCCAAACACTGATCTCCATAAATTTCCTTTAAGAATTAGGTGAGAGAATTTAATAAAAAATCAAGGCATTTTCTCTTTGGTGATCATTTAATTCATTCTCATAATCCTCCCTCTTGACTATGTATGGATGTTGTTAGGAGAAAATTGATGTTGGTCACTATTGGGACTTCAAGGTCAAATGAACCAAAATTTCGACCTTTTTTTATTTTAGTTCAATTCCAGTGAAATGTGTTTAATATGAACCAAATAAACATACTATGAAGTTTCAGCTCAATTGAAGCAAGTGTCTCACGAGATATTCGCAATTAAAAATTGCTGTTTTTGGCCCTTATCTTCGTAGAGCGGTTGGAAAAATTGTCGGAAAAAACAGCTTGTGACGCGTCAATGTTGGTCAGGTGAAAAAAAAGCGGGAAATTCAAAACAGTTTTTCGAGTCGACTTGGCATGGAAGTGGTTTGTGCGACCATAAACCTGGAAATAACAGGCAATTTGTCTTCAAAAGTTGCAAGCTATGGTTATAATCTTCTTATTATTTAATTTTTTCGAAGAATACATCATAGTAAAAAACGGACTTTAACGACATTTACTAATTTCCTTGAGTTGTACTGGAAATGTGCGTGTGTAAGTCTGATTAGGGTCCGGAGCTCCACCGTGAACACAAAAACAAAATAACTTTGTATAATAATCTGCCCAAAGAAATTCAAGTTTGCCCACAATGTGTTTGAAGTCCCTGAACTTTGTTGCACTCCTGCTGATATTTTAAAACCCACACTCGATCGGACACTTCTAGCTTCGCAGATCACTAAAATATACACAAAATCCTCAATGTACAAGTTTTGGCGTTGATATATGGGCTGAAAAAGAGTTAATCTTTATCTACTACATCTTCCCCAAGATCGTTTTCAAAGCAACCATAGTTTTTTAAACTTGATCATTTCGGGCAGATTAATTAATTTTGCTTTGTGTTGTCAAGTTGAACATGCATAACACCTGTTAAAAACCTACGCGTACTAAAGTAAGATTTCCTTCAAACAAAGTTAACGTTACATTATTGCAAAAACTTCTTTCCAATTATGTATAAGATTTAATTACCGATTGAGGTCACTTTAAGGACCAAAGACGCCACTTTAAGCTGGCAAAGAGATGCGACAAGCAAAGAACAATTCCATCATGCATAAAATTCAGCTTAAGTGAACTAAAAAAAGCTTCAATAAGATTGCAAAACAACAAATTTTCATTAAAAAACATAAGGCTTAAGGCTCCTATACCTGCTGACAAAGAAGAAGTGAGTTTTCTGTACGGAAACAACCTACCTAAAGATCTTAATAGCAAAAGATCAGTTGCAAGCTTCGCAGCCAAGCCATGATTCCGACTACTTAGCTAGATTAGCTACTTTTAATAACTGGTCCATGCGAGGGTCTTCATTCAAGCAAATTAAACTCAGCAAACTAAATCAGAAAATACAGAAAACTGCACATAAGGATTTCTTTTGCTCGCTTCAGTCAAATCCAGCTCCAGCAATTGTTAACGGGCAAAGAGTCGATTGTTTTGGAGTCACTGCCGGCAGTTGTTGTTCTCCGCGCTACTTCACAGCGAGTGAAAGGAAAATTTGCGTACAGAAAGATAACAAAACTATGTAATTAAAACTGAAAAAACTAAAGGAAAAAAACTCTGACTATTATTACTTGAGCAACAGAAAAATTATCGAAGTAGTCTTTTCTTCTCGAGTAAGCTTGCTGGCCTTCTAAAGTTCCGAGGAAGTTTTAAGCGCCCAAGTTTGTTCACTCCCAAGCATTAGCATTACGGTTCTTTGACATAAGACGAGGATAAAGCCGGTTCTGCGAAGGTAAATAAATCTGGCCATGTAAAAAAACTAACCGTAACTACTAATAACAGAATACAAGCGGGTTTTAATTCAGTCCGGCGAAAGAAGGTGAAGAACTGGACACAAAATCAATTGACAAATCGAATGCACAATAGGCCATTTGCACTAAGAGGTCATGTGACATCGTTTTATGAAGATGAAAGTTATATAATTTTGCCTTCAAAAAATGATTAGTGGGTCATATTCTAAACAAAATAATACTGATTTGGTTTTTCAAACCTGCACCGCTGTCATAAAATGAGTAAGTTTGTAGCTGGTCGCGAGACCAAAATGTGATTTTGAAAATTACAAATCACTTCTTTCTGAACACAAATTTTGCACTTAAACTTCCAAGGAAAATGTTGAAAAAATGTGGTAACGTTTGTAGCACATCTGAACATAACTATCAAAAGTTTAACAAGATGTAAGCAAAAAGTAGTTTTGGCCGCCATGTTGGAGGGCAAGAGTATGCCCTCCAACATGACGGCCAATACAAATCATACTACTTTGTTGAAAAATCAAAGTGCCATAAAATATCTCCCTTAAATGGTTTTTTCTCTCAAATTTCGCATGTAAGATAATTTTTATGTGCTCTGTCAATTTTTGGCATCAGCAGGATTCCAACTAATCGTTTAAGGGAAGTATTGGTCACGTGACCTCTTAGTGCAAGTGGCCTATTATCAGAAAAATACAAACCTCTTTGGAAATGTTCAAATTGTTTTATTCCTCCTCAGACTGATGGATGATCTGTTTTTAACATTGGTTGTTCTGAATCCAAAGTAATTTTCAAGTGACGAAAAAACAACAACAACAACAACAAAAACAAAAAAAAAGCCTTTAAAAGGAGCAAACTTTCGCACCTCGTGTATTTCATTCAGTCTCAGTCAGAACTTTATATGTAACATATTAATTATTGTTTCTGGGATCGCTACTGAGGGCGTGCTTGTCAGCTACAAAGTTTTTGACCAAAGTTTTTTCCCTGTCCCTAGTATCAGTCTCAGAAGTCATTGTGATAGTTAACTTGGCTCAGTTTTCTTCTTGTTTCTAAATTGATAAATAGAGCCTGTTAACCTGGCTTGCTTTTACTTCAATTGGCCATTTTGTGTCTTCCAGCTGGTTTTACATTTGTGCGTCAAAGAAGAGAATACTTCTACTGGTTAACAGCTCTTTCCACCCATTGTCCTACTATACTAAAAGATTATGTTACTGTAAATTATGTATAAATTAAGTAGTCAATACTTACAGCTGAATCACATATACTTGTGGTATAATGAACATAAGGGCAAAAAGTACAACAGCAAGTCTCCTGTTGAAAAAATAAGGTTGCAATTATCAATGCAATATTTATGCAATAAATCAACATCTAAAACTAACTGAATATTGTTATCAGTTCATGAAAAAAAGATGCATTTTTTTTGTCAATGTATTTAGGACAACGAACACTATTTTAATGTCTCATTCTAGTGATGGAACTCCCATTTACATGTACATGATTTGTAATGTACGTCATCCAAGCCATGCAAAGGTTGGGCCGTTTACAAGGCAATAGAAGTACTTTCATTTCTCAAAACATACTTTATGACCCTGACTTGGTGCATTCTCTACCCCAGTGCTTACGGGTTTGGGAATGTGCACGTAAGCTCTGGAAACTCTGCGCACTGGAGTAGCCAGAATCTGGCTATTTGGGCCTCACGGCACATGCTATTTGATCCAACTAAAACTTTTTGTTTCTTTTATATCTACTTCATTGCGAAAGTCTTGTGCTGCTTCAGTATTAGAACTGAAGAAATTCAGTTAATGGCCTTGAGGAATATTCAGGTATCTAAGGCTCTTGTGGTAGCTGTTAAACGTTCCCAATCACAGATTTGAGACTTGAAGTTTGCATATGCTTGACAGTTGATTAAATATTTCTGTGGACTACTTCAAGAGGCAGTAAGTGAAACCCAAATGGCTTGTTAAGATAAACGTATCGAAATTCCAATAAAACTTTCCAAAATATGAATTTAGCGTCCTTTTATTTATATGAACATCAGCACTTCAGCGAAGCTGCAGCTTTGAAATGCGATATCATGGGAAAAGAAGACAACTATAAATATCTAGTCGCATTGTACATGAATCACTTTAGGGAACGATTTACTTTTTCTGTTTTTCCTTGCAAGTCTGTTTTAGGCAATTTACGACAAGAAGCTCAAGTTTTCATTCATACTCGGCTACTTTGTGTGAATACAATAACGTGGAAGTCAAAGAAAAACCAGTAATGTGTTATGCTTCTTAAATTATAGCTGGCAAAGATGTCGGTGTATTTTATTTTAGTCTTTCACATTCAAATCTTTTTCTGGTTCAATTTTCGATGTGTAGCTAAGCTATTTTATTTGAAAATTGGAAAATCCAGTAATTCTGCCTGATTATTAGTCGTGCAAATGTTGTTTTGGAATCACTGAAATCAAGAATCGGCCAGTCATGTTTACTTCAACATTTCTAGGGAAAAACCCGCTCACAAGCCAGACACACCACACATTCAACTGCTCTCGTGCGAACTTGAATGGACCAATCAGCAACACTTTTATTGTTTTTTGCTGAAACAAATCAGAGACAATCTTGCCCCAGGGATCCCCAGAGCTCTTGATAGCTCTCTCCTCTACATGCGCAGAAGTGCTCTGGGTCGAGATTGGACTTGGTGCCGCCCTGGGAATCGAATCCATGACCTCCTGCTCTGCAGTCAAGCAAGCTACCGACTGAGCTAATCCTGCTGCGGTTTGAGATCAATACAGGCTGCTGAATACACGCAACTATAGCTTGGTTATCCATCTGTACCTCTTATACAAAATACGCATACCATACTCTCTTAAGTTGTTGGGGGCAGGGATTTCCCGCAGCTACTATAAGCATGAACCTTCCGCCAAGGTACATGTACTTTCATGCAAAACAAAAGAAAAGCGCAGCTAAAAGTACCCCCCTAACTGTTTGATCCCTGCCTAATAGTTACTGCATATACCTAACAAATTCAATAGGTGTTTGCCCTGACCCAAATCAAAAAAGGAAGCAATCTTTTAATTGGATCAGGGCTCAACAGTCGTTCAATATATGGACAATGTCTTGCCAAGATGACCATACATTTTTGTCCTCATAAGCTTTCGACTTCACCAAAAACTAACAAAATTTAAGTTAACTTACGCTGCTCCTCGGGAATCTTTTGGAAACCATCTGGTAAAGTGATAAGCGCAGTGAGCAACAAAGTAATACCACATTCTGTACGCTAAAGTCGGTCCCTTGGAACTCTTGGACCATTCATCACGATAAAACTCAACTTGTAAACAATCGCCGATAAGCTCCTACACACACTGTATTCTACATTTTCCAATCAAAGCTTGATTTTATAGCCTAAGAGACCTAAAGAATCCTTAAAATTGGCTTGAGATAGGATTTCTCAAAATGCTTAGGTTGCGCAGAAAATATTTACGTCTTCATGGGAACTAAGCTACTCTGGAATTTAGCCACCATGATGTGTCCCATGATTCCTTACACTACGTTCAGTTTGTTTCTCTCGTCTGATTGGTGTTTCTTTCCGTCCAAGCAGGACAGGAAAAATTTTTTTCTTACACTCAAGACTCCATTAATACTGAAAAAGAGGTTGAAATTGAATTTACTGATAAACTTTAGAAATACTTTGCAAGGATCTCATGCTCTTTTATCGCTTCTGCGTTTCGATTAGAGGTCTGGGTACTAGATTGTTGTGCTCGTCCAACATGGCGGATCTAAAAGGCAGTGCACTGGTTATTTTGGCCGAAGGTGCTGAAGAAATGGAAGCAGTGATCACCACAGACGTGCTTCGACGTGGGAAGGTATCTTGGCGTATGTAACCGCTTCTAATAAGTTTGTAGGTGTGATATTTATGGAAAATGAGAATGCAGTTCATGAAGTACACACCTCAAAGTATTGCCAAACATATAAGCTTAATTATTTGCAAGCTTAATTAGGAAGACCTCGGATAACAACATATATGCCAACTGTCCCGGATTATCCGGAAGTCTCTCGGATATGGCACCGATCTCCCACTATCCCATATGGGTTACCAAATCTCCCGGATAACATCATCTTTTGCGCTTTTCTGTGCTTTAGTTTGAGAGTTAGCCCATTTCCCTCTCCAAATTTGAATTTTTTTTATTCGTAGTAGGGTTTCAGGGCAGTATGCACTGAAAAAGATTATTTTGGCATCAAAACGATGAACGTGAATTTTTATAGTATGTAACGTCATGTAAGACTTCAAATAATGTCCATAGCCATTCCCATTGGGGACTGGGTCAATTTGTTGGGGGGGGGGGTCCGTTGAAATTCGGGGGGGGGGGGGTGGGGAAAAAGAGACAGTCTCCAGATTTTAGATCTCCAGAGGTTGGCATCGCATCTCTGTAACAATGACCTCAACCAGGTTGACGTCCAGCAATTTTAGTGACAACAAGGGATTGGGTGGGGTGTTCAGTCTCGTGGACTCATAAAACCTGGTCATGGTCATTCTTATTTAAGGATTTTCACTTAGTTAATTAAACTTACTTGATTTATCCGATCCAGCCACCCAAAAGGTGGATATCACCAAAAACCAAAGAAATCTCTATCTGCTGGATAGTTTAGTTGGTTTCCCTAATACTTATCTACTGGATAGTGATTTATCCGGTGGATAGCGCTTTCCAGGGTTTTAGGGGTATCCAGTAGCTTTTGAATGACTGCCAACTGTGCCCAGCAGTGAGTGGGTTGGTGGGTTGGTAGGTGTGGCTCTTTGGATGCAAAAAAAGGACGGTATTTAGGGGTCGGACTTCTGATTGCAGTTATTTCTCTTTTAGTTGATGTCCTATTGATTGTCAGTTTTATGTGAAATTCACACAGCTTGATGCAAGAATGTTTAAATGTAGCATATATTTGAATATTTGTAATGTAGTTGTTACATATTAAAGTTTTAATTAACTTAACAAGTTAAAGAGTATTTATCAGAACGGTTTTAATTTGTAGATTTTGTTTCAGGTTAAGACAGTGGTTGGAGGTCTTGCTGGAGGTGATGCTGTCACATGCAGTCGATATGTTGTGGTCATCAAACCAGATATGAGTTTATTTAGAGGATGCCATTAAGCAGGTAGGAGGTAACATGTAAAAAAAGGAAAATTTGTCTTCTTTCTTAGAAAAAGAGTCATTTAGAAGTTGCCTGGAATTGTCTAAAACAGAATACTTTCAGTCCAACCGGAAAAGTTTTGGGGAAACAAGTCCGCATTTGAAGCTGGATCAGTTGTCTGTTTTGGACCTGTCTTAATCCATTTGCCCCTGAATCACCCTTAGCTGCCCCTGCAGATTCCACATCCCTTCTACTGCCTGTGACATCCTCAGTTTTAATGGCCAAGGACAACTTTGTCTGCTAACTTGTGCAGGGTGAAGAGATCTTTCAAACCATACCAGAATGAGCGTGATTCAGTCAAGGAGACTGGAGAAAAAGGCAAAAAAAACCATGTAACATTGACCCCAAAATTTCCATGAAAATCCTGTTTCACCCACCTACCTTTCCTTTCATCTAATTCCAAAATCCTAAAAGCTTTCCCAAAAACTATTCCCAGCAAAGTAAAGCTTAATAAATTCCCAGCAAAAGAGAAAAAAAAAATGGTGCAAGAAAAGACTCGTGAATTTATGAAGAGGAGAGGAAAACAAATGCAAAGAAAAAGTAAAGACTGTTGTGTCACTTTTCAACCCAAAAAATTTTGCTTTCTGCGCATGCTCAAACTTCGCAAGCTAACATTTTGCATCTGGATCAGAAGGCCAGAAAGGCTATGACCTGTAAACAGCTTTGTGGTATAAGTTTTGCATTAGCTCTTTATACATGTAGTCAGACAATGACTAGAAAACTGCTCAACCAGCTTCCAAACGCTTTTTTTGGCAAAATCCCCAGGAGTGAATGGGTGATCACATTAACGGTGCCATTCTATAACTATTTTTTAAATTGTTGACTATTCCCTTTATAAAGACCAAAACTTTTGGAAATTCAAATTGAAATTGAAAATCAGTTTTTTTTGACATTGTGTAGACAGCTCATAAGGAACATGGAATGCAAGATGAACAATGCTTGAAAGGGAGAACACAGCAAGGGAAGAGGGAATGCTTGTTTGATAGAAAAAAGTTTTACTTTTATTTTTAGGGTCCATATGATGCTGTTATTTTGCCTGGTGGATTAGGAGGATCTAACAACCTTGCTAAGGTATTTATATTTTTTAATTCTAAATGAAAATTTTGAGAGCTGATGAGAGGCAAAGGCTTAATTACTTTAATTCTGTATGATTTACAGTCTGTGAAAGTTAAAGAGATCGATTCTCCAGGAACAAGAGCAAAGTGGAAGAATAATTGGAGCAATTTGTGCTGGTAAAGAAAATTTACTGTCATAAAAGGCCTAGGTGTAAACTCTGGAAAACTGGTCCTTTTTTTGTTTTTCTTCTTTTTAATGTACTTGAAACATCTAGAGAATGATCTGTCAAGATTTTATTAGTAACATTCTGAAAATCGTAATCAAGTTGAAAAATTCTTACGATTAAAATTTGCCAGGGTTTTTCACTCTCTGAGTTTGAGATGACTTGAATCTGATACGAGCCAGATAGCAGCAATTTGTTTAATTGTGCAAGTGATCACAAAAATGTTTTTAAAGGCCCATGGGGATGCCTTTAATACAATGTACTTTGCTGTCAGGCTCAGCTTAACAATTTTTAGATGTATCCTTAAATCTTATGAGGCTCCCTTAGTCTAACTGCATTATGGAGTTAGACGTCTACAACCTTTCTGAGATTGGGAATGATAAGATTGCAGCTGGAACTATTCAGAACTGGAACAATCTTACCAGGTAGAGTGATTTTCGTATGACCTTGAAAAATGGTTTTGGTAAGTGTTTGTTATTTACCTTATCCGCCAAAGAAAACCGTACTATGGAGAAGGCATTGTTCAATTATTGGTCAATTGTGTTGCAATATGACGTCAAAGTGAAGTATCGACTGATTTAAAGAAAGTTCTTTGGGCATGAATTTTTTTCAGCCGAGTGTTCGGTTAACCAGCCAAAAGCCACGCACATTTGTTCACTTGTTTTCATTTCAATTTCAAACAAAAATCACTCTTACCCTAACACTGTTGCAGGTGGCTAGTGGGCAAGCCCGCCTCTAAGTATGATAATTGAAGCCTAATTAATAATCCATAAAATAATGCAAAAGGTATTTTGATCAGCACTACTATAGCTAAAGCTTGTTGCCTTAGGGTGCTTTTTCTATTCCGGTTATCAGTGTTCTCCTTATCAGGTGGTAACTGGTAAAATTTACCCCTTGAAGCAACACTTCTTACCGCCTGCAACTGCTTTAAGTGTTACTATAATTAAACATAAATAAGTTGTCTCAAAAAACATGCAAGTTGTACGTGATCCAAGCCAATCCTCACAAGTAAAGGAAGTAAATGCGGAAAAACAAAAAGTATACACAGCTATTCTCTCTGATTACTTAATAATATTTAAATGCTAACTGGTACCTTTCAAAGCACTGCAGGCTAACAATTTTTTCATGGGTTCCTGTCCCAATTCTAGAATATTTTCTCGACCAGTAGGAAAAGTTCACGTCTCCCGCGACTTTGTGTTACTAAATTAACCCTCTAGCGGTAAATGCAGGCTTCATTCATAAAATTCTTTGTTTTGAGGTGTTAAAAGTACTTTTCAGTCAATTGATTGACAGGATGCTCAAAAATAAAAGTCTTAATGAATGAAAATTCTCTCCCCCTCCGCCATGAGAGTGCGCCTCTGGTGCATATTTTTGGTCTTACTGGTCAAAAATGTTTTTTAACTTGCTGAGCTAAAATTTAGGGAGAACACTGGGTTATGAGCCCGTCCTTTTATAAGCCCTCCTAAGATGTAAAAGCCCCTGGCTTATAAGTGCAGTTCATGTTACATGTATGTCTTAAGTCGACATAAGACCAGTGCAGTCAACTCTCCCGGATAATCCGGGAGACCCCCGATTTTGAACCGTTTCTCCCGGTCTCTAGATTCGACTTTCTGTCAATGAAGTTTAAAATATTTTGCATTGTTTGAGCTATTTTAACTTTTATCATTGAACGTTTCCTCAGAAAGCATAGTATGCCATTGTAATATTTAAGCAATAATGTGATTGGTGGAGGGGGAAGTAAACCAATCAAGTACAAATGTTACAATTCCAACAACATCTTTTTTGCATGTTTTATTGCCCAAATGACGTCATGTTTCATGCATTATGACATCACCTATTATCCCTTCCCTGTCAATTCTCAATATTTGAAGATGTCAGGGGTTGACAGCCCTGTAAGACTGAGTCTACTATTTTGCTTTTCATATCTTAATAGTACAGAATATAACGCAGTAACTTTTGTTTTCATTGTTTTGTGGAACACCTAGTCTCCCTCGCAGCCGTTTTTTGGGAGCATTGCGTGACATCCAAAAAACGGCTACGAGGGAGACTATGGAACACCTCGAGGTCTGAAACTGAAGAAAATGTAGGTCCTAGTTCAAGCCTTGTTGTCATACTTTTTCCTTAGACAAAAAACTTTGCTCCACTTTATATCTCAGGGGGAGGGTGCAGGGGATACGCACCCCCCCCTGAGATGACCTGCGGTTTTCTAATACAACTGGTATTCTGCAAAAAAAAAACTATGTGGTTTATTGGTGTTGAAGTAGAGCAAGAAACAAGTGCACCCCCTCCTAAAAAAAATCCTGGATCTGCCCCTGTATCTCTTCACCCAAGTGTATAACTAGGTACCAGCGACTTGGTGTGATGGACTAACATCCTATTCAGAGGGGAGAGGGTGGTAGAAATATTTCCAGCTGCTTAGTTTTGCCATGGAAAATGGAATAAGCTCCGTGCTGATGAGCAATTTGGTTTGTATGCAGACTTTAACCTAAACCTTTGTTTCATACTGCAGCCCCAACTGCTCTTCATACTCATGGAATTGCTAAAGAAAAGATTGTCACATCACATCCTTCTGTCAAAGATAAACTGGATCAGGTATGATTTCACATGACTGCATACATTTTTCATTCTAAATTGAAAAATAAACAAATATTTGTGTAGCCTGCATATTTTTTGTAAAAAGCTAAAACTGGCATGTCCCTTAGAAAAAATTCTACCCTGCAAAAACCCTGTGAGAGCCCTGTAAAATCCTGTTTCCAGCCCTGTTTACGTTATTTCAGAGCTGTAAACTGGCTGTAACAGGGCTGTGACACAGCTGCAACTTACTTGAGTTAAAACAAGTGGAGCTGTGACAGGGCTGTAAAAGTGTACATAGTTAAGTATAACAAGCCTGTTACATGGCTGTGAAAATATCCAGTTACCGTAACAGGGTTAAGACAGGGCTACCTAATAATGTAGAAGAACTAGGACAGGGATGCAGAATGGCTGTGTTAGGTACATTTGACAGTAACCGGGTTACTGCAGAGCTGTGAGAAGTCTATTTCTGTTCACACAATGGATAATAATCAAAGGGCAGTAACAATGTAGCCAAGTATGCTAAACTCCATAAATCAGTAGAAAGATGGCAATATTTTTCTAAAGTCTAAAAGTGTTAAAAGGTGCGAGGGTCAGCTAGATCATTTATAACAAATAAAACGAAAAGAACTTGGTGAAAATGGTATCGCGAAATCATCAAACACGATTATTGTACACCTTTTAATATGCTGTTTTTGGTTTTGTTTGGATTTCCTTCGTTTTTTCTTTTTTTTCATTGATACTAACATTAATTAATTCCTGATTTCGTGGCTACCTTTGTAGTTTGAAGTTGCTTTCTTTATATTTATATATTTTACTTTTATCTCATGTTAAAAACGAAGACCTTCTTATGATCAACTTACCACTTTTACAAACACCTATTACATCAGCTCCTGTTCTTCCTGTTCTTTTAAATAAAAAAAACCGCCGAAACTTAATTAGTTTTTACAGTACTAAAAATGAAAGACTTTTAGATCACTTCAATTTGTTTTCTTGCGTGAGAGACCTCTGCAAGCATGGAATTAAATTCTTTATCGAGGGAACTTCAATAATTATCTTCATTCCATGACAGACACGCCATCGGTAATTCCCTGGAGAAATCCAAGACCTTAATCTTATTGGTCAGCACTGTTACCGGAAGATCGTGTTACACATCTCCATTCCTGAAACAACTTACGATCATTTGAATCAAGGTGAAAATATTCACACGTTTTCTAGTGCATCCAGTTTGGATTCAAAAAGGCTGTAGAGCGTTTTTTGCTGCTTTTGAAGCAGAGAGTGAAAAAGTATTAGCAAAAAAATAATTGTGCTTTGACCAGCTCTCAACGAATGGGAAACAGATCGATCTAGTGGACAGAAAACATTCCGCGGCACTTGCAAGATTCAAAGATTGTTTGCCCTGCCTAGAAATAATGCAGCAACAACTGAAACACAAATGGATTGGCTCTTTTCATGAGGAAATGTAACACATTGTGGATAATGAAGGAAAGACGATCGAGGTGAGCGATTTCAAATTAAGCCTTGTTACGACGAACCAGACAAGAGAACTATTATAAACTGTCAAAATCGGAACCGTTGTTACAATGGAACAATTCCGCGTTTCATCTCTTATAATTGCTGACAAAAATCATTGATTTTTTGTTTTTTGAGACAGTTATTGTAAAGTCGGCATTTTGACGTGCTAGTTGTACATTAAATCAAGCAACTATGACAAGATGTTTACAAGCCAGATCAGACTGTTGCAATGCAGTTCAAATTTTGTTCTGTTTATATTTTTACACACTGTAACATGGGCAAGTGAAAAATAAAGTAACGTTAAGTTCTTAATTGACTGTATTTACTGTTTTCCTTTATTGAAAGTGTTCTTTCAATGCATGTTTGTTGAAATGCATTGCTTTTGTTTACTTAAGTGACTAAACGGACTAAACCAGCCGTTGGTGGTTCAACTTTGAAGCTTTTTGTGGCGCAAATCGTTCCTTTGCTTCAGGAATTTTCATGAGTTCAAATATGCCTAAAAAAGGTGAAGTTTCATCTTTAATAGATATGAAGTTATAAAAAATCATGTTCTGATAGTACTATAATCCCACTGTATAGAAGTTAAACGGCTGCTGTCTAAAGTGTAGATTGTGTGAGAGGGAGTATCACAACATTGGCACCTGGTAAAAAAAACAGCCTTGTTAACTGCCACTTAACAAGTTGCAACAGGGTTGTGATGAATGAAACCTGTACCAAGGCTGTTAAAGGAATGCCACAGTGTAAAAACAGCCTTGCTAACTGTGCCAATTCACGAGCTGTGGCAGGGATGTCCATCACAGGGTGGAAACAGGGTTGTAACATGGCTGTTACAGGGTGTCTACTAAGAAATTTTGCGTTAAACGTGACAGGGCTGTTCCAAGGCTGCTGCAGTGTAGAAACAGCCTTGCTAACTGTGCCAAATGACGAGCTGTAACAGGGTTGTTACAGGTTAGTTTTACAACCCTGTTCCAGTGATGCTACAGAGCTGTTACAGGGTAGAAATTTTGTTAAGGGGTACCATGAGTTGCTATACCATTTTAAGGAAGTTAATTTTTAGACAATTAGGTTGAATATTTTTTGCCAAGTCTTCATTTGAAATTATTGTTTGACTCACCAAGCAGCACTGTATGTCCTGTAAGCACAAAATGGCCCTAAAGTGTTTTTTTAGGTGACCTTATTATTTACTTTGGCTAAGTACTTATGTTTGGTTGGTTTAACTTCTATTTTTAATTATTTAAAATAGAAGTTAAACCAACCAAACATGAATCTCATACAAAGTAAATAATAAGGTCAACTAAAGTTGAAATCCTACAATTGATACTAAGAAATCTCTGTGTGATGTCTAACATACATACGTACATAGGTTTATTCAAAGCAAATACAACATTAATGTATACAAAAGAATGCTGAGAAAAGGGCCGGAGTTTAAGAGGTTGACCCTATGTAAACAGTGACAGTTCTTTTTCTTGTCCTTCAAGAAATTGATGATGTTCTCAATCTGGAAACTTAAGGATAGAATAAACATTATCATAAACTCTGTATATTTTAAATGTATATGGTAACGTTTCTGTGTTCTTCATGCAAATGAAGAACTGCTGTTACAAGTTTGGGGGTCTAAAATTTGATTGTTTTTGTCTTAAAGGTTACACCTACTCTGAAGACCGAGTTGCATTGTTCGAGATGGAAACCTGGTAACTAGCAGAGGACCTGGAACTGCTTTTGAGTTTGGTATTGAACTTGTACATGCTGTACGAGGTGATGATGGTGAAGCTGAGAAGCTCGCTGGCCCAATGCTGATTAAATAGTTGCTTTCAGTCAAATCAGCTCAGATTTGGTTTAATAGATAGGGTGCAACTACCTTGATGATCAATCTGACAATCATATACCTGCCAACTTTTTCTGAGATATAAGCGTGAGATTTTTATCCTGGGAGTGCTGGGATTTTTGAAGACGACACGATCATTTCCGAACATTCCCGAAGAAGTCCGAAGTCTTCCGAAAAAGCCCGAAGTTTTCCGAAGACGTCCGAAGTCTGCCGAAGGCTTGCTCGCTCCCAGTGCTTTTCACTTCAAGAATCAGAGATCGCCAGGAAGGTATTGTCATTTATTCATTTTACACATGGTTTTCGTTCCTTACATGGGTCTGAGTTAACATATTTTTGGAAATTGTGTCAAGTAAGACGGCAACAACTCACATTTTTCAATCAGGCGTGAGAAATTGGCCCGCAAGCGTAAGCCGGCGTGAGATCGAAGTTTTCAACCCGCAGGCGTGAGACTCACGCCTAAGGCGTGAGAGTTGGCAGGTATACAATCAATCTTTCTTTTGTGTGAGACTTGTAGGAAACAATATTTACCTCACATTAAGGAACATAAAAATATTTTGTTAGATGTTTAGTTCAATAAATAGAGACACCTTAATTATTTCTTTTGAATTTATTTGCCAATCAATTCTGCATCAGGGAGATTGAGCAACCACGATGGCGATGGATTAGAGGGCAACAAGAAGCTCCCTCTTTACATTGTATATTAACATGTTAACAGTAAGCCTGGACATGTTAGAAGCACGGGCGTAGCATGAATGTACTCATGGGATGAAAAGTCAGACCTCAAAAGGCACTCCAAACTTACCAAGCTAGGGTGGTCCGGAGGAATGCTCCCCCAAGAAATTTTTTAAATTGGGGGGCTTAGAAATGCCATTACCTTCTTCTTTCTGCAGGACATTTTCAGTTCACAAATACAAAGGAAAATGCAGTCATTGTTTATTTTATTAATCTCTAGAGTTATCGGTTCTAAAAGTACAGTGCTCATAGAAAAAAAGGGTAAAACAGTTGAAAAAATATCATCAAAATTTTGCAAAAACAGCTTGAATGCCCACATGTTCCTCCAAGTGCTCGAGAAACGGGGAAAGAATCCTCTCTTGGCCAACACGTGAAAACCATGGTAACAGTTGATTGTCGTCCACCAAACTGCAGGTTTGAACCAAAGAAAAAACCCTTTGAGGGCACGTGTTAGTGGTAAATGCTTTCAGGAAAATTTTTTTTCTAGATTTCAGCCGTACGCACAGTCGTATGTGTGTATATAGGTGCTATGCTCCTGATAAGTAATAAAAATTTTAAATTATTTTTACTATCAGAGCTCTTATTAATTTTGTTCATAAATTTTATTGTTTTTTGGATGCGGTAGTTGCTGTCATTTTTTGTAGCCGCTTTATATAGCTGCCCATTATGTTCTCTCTCTGATGGTGATAAATTTGAGAATTGATTTTTTTCTAGGCATCTTCACAGTTTGGAGCTGTGTTTTTTGTTCCTAGTAAGGATTTGTTTTAAAGAATGTAAAGAAGGAATCAATGAGAGTTGAACAGACTTTAAAACTAAAATAAACTGAAAGAGAAGACTTGGCCTTTCTGACAACATTTTATTGAAATAGCTGTATCAGTGATGTAGGATTGCTATAGTGATGGGCGCCAAAACCTAGCCCCTTGAGTAGAATACACCCTATTCGTTCTCCTTTCCAAGTAACCATGGTCTGCACTGATATAGAAGCCTGGTTTAAGATCCCAGTATTCTCAGACTTGAATGTTGCAATCATGACAAATGACACTAGTCTTCATTAATAACACTGCTACTCTGGAAGTGTCCCACAGTGATACTTGCTTACAACATATGTTTACAAGGCTATTTTCACTTTCAATAAAATGGAGATCGTTGCTCATATCATAAAGGAAGAAATAGCATATTATGTAGTGAGTCTATTAAGTGTCTTAACTTTTTCCTTGACTTTTAAGGACATTTAAATAATCGGGTGTGACATCTTCCTGTTTAAGTTAAAACAGGGTCAATTGTTTACTTTAACGGGAAAAACTTATATTTAAGATGCATAATGAACTATCATTTTTCTCACAAATAAAGTCTTTGGTAAAAATAGTTCTCATGTATTTTTCATTGTTTATCATCAAGTCTATGAATCTCAAGTGCTTCAGACTTAAATAAACTACAGTGTAGATTTATTTGTCTCTTTAAGTACTCAACTAATCTGAACTTAGTTTAAATCCCTGATGTCATTCACTACATTTGAAACTTTACTTTATATGTTTAGTGTCATCACTTATATATATATATAATTTTCTGTAATATCTTTATAATCCTTGTTCAAAGGCCAGAGGAGACATCTCCAATTTCAGTTGATATGTATGTCCTATTTAAGAGTTCTCTGAGCATTTCCTGTTTAGTTTTGGACACTCCACTATCACGTGCACGTTCGAACGAGTTTTTGTTAACTCTTAGGTGTTTATGTGTATAAATATATATTCTACTTACTGCTTATTTTTTACTTTATCTCCTTTCTATCTGTGTTAGTGATCGTATTTTGATTGATGGAGAGGGCAGTCAATTTTAAATTCTCTCACACCGTGAAAAGAGTAACCAGTGATAGACTTCTGTTACTACAATACTGACGTGAAAGAGGCGCCTTTCAGTGGGCTGAAATACAACTTGATAATATTTAAAGCAATGTCTACAGAATTGAAACTGTAAATGTTAGGTTTATTGTTTGGCTTGGTGAATGTGTTTATAAAATCAAATTCAACATCATCAACCCAGTTGATTTTCTCTCTCACTAACACAGGCTCCCTTGAATGTTCATTTAAACTTATTGTAAGAGGCTATGTGTATGATGTTGATTCCCAAGACTGTTACAGATGGTGCACTGGTGCACCAGTGCACTGGTGCACCGGTGCACTGGTGCACTAGAGCAGAAGAAAACTTCACATTCATAAGCCATTGTCAGAGTATTAAGAATGATCATAAATAGATTTTTGACTTGTGTATTAAAGTAAACGGTGCCGAGTACTGAGGACTTGTTGTAACATCTTCCAATTCGCTTTTCAAGCCTTGATTAGCGTGGTAGGTTGACCGATTTAAAAAAGTGAACGGTGCACTGTCGGTGCACTGTGCTCTTTAAATAGTGCACGAGAGGGCATAATTTTATTTGATTCTAATTTGGAAAAAGGAGGACTAACACCAGAAAGCTCAGAAAAACATGGACATCGCATTTACCCTGTATTCGGAAAAAAATGTATACCGCCCTACAACAGCCATTTTAAATTAGTTTATGGCACAATTCAGCGAACTTTCTGAAGATGTGATTTTACACATTTTTAGCTTCATACCTTTTAGGCTTCTGCGAAGAACCATTTGCCGAGTCTGCAAAATGTGGCACCGAATTGCTTCTGATCCAGCGATAGTGAGAAAGGCCTCGAGTCATGAGTTTGAATCCATTCGCTTGTGCGACACTATAAATGACCGTCAGCTCAAAAATCTCGTCAAAAGAATTGTTTGGGCACGCACTGAAGATATTATAGTGTTTGATTTGGCAAAAACGTCCATATCATGGGAATATGTCGACGACGCGTCCAGAAGAAGTCACTGGAGAAAGTTGCGTGTTCTGAACATTGCCAAACTTGTCACTTCAGAATTCCAAGTTTCCACCACCTTGGCGAATCTTCTTGAACTCAATGTTTGTAAATCAGAATTTAGTGATAACCATCTCCTAGAGGTGTCGAGAATGTGTAAAACTCTGCGAATACTTAGTGTTTCAGGTTGCCGTATTACTGATCTCGGCGTTGAAAATGTCTCGTTGGAAAGTCTTGTTTTCTTCAACATTGCCAACTGCTCACTTTTGTCAGAACGGTCAATACGCCGAGTTATCGAAAGCTGGGAAACAACATCTCTTTGTGTCAAAGGTCTTGATCTCTCCCTCGTCCAATTTCAGGAATTGTATGGGGACGATATGGAAGCCGGAGTGGTATTTCTTTGTGGCTTGTTACCTAATCAAGTTCGAAAATGCATTTACTGCAGAGAGAGTATCTTTCTTACTTGGACGGACGCAACACAAACGGAGTCCCTTTCAAGACTCGAAATTTGACCTTCGTTGTTTGGACCCAATTTTGTTTTGTAACGCGTATCCCAAATCGTCACGGTAAAAAACGCGACTGTTTAAAACATCTCTTCAATATCTACCATCAGACGAAGTCTCCGGGACACTTTTGGAATGTTCCCGTCCCTCCCGTTATAATCACTTGTGTGTTTTTTACAGTAAATGAGACGGTAGTGCCCTGGCAACGAGTCAAGGTACATGTATAACGTCAGATACCTGGGGCTTTCAGTTAAAATAATAAAAAAGCGACTTTTTTTTCGTTCCTGTTACGGAATATTTTACGTTAAGCGCTCTTTAAAATCGATTATGGATATCCATTTCTAGAACCACAACGCCACAACTTCCCTGGTTGTTGCAATTGTTAACCCTTTCATTTCAGGGGACCGGAGAACCCACGTATTTTTGTATTAATTCTGGACTTAGTAGTCGAATTCTTAAAATAGTAAATGCACGTATTTTCCGTAAATGTAATTAGAATGTGTGCATTACAATGTCCCTTAACGATTTCAAGGACTCAGGGGTTATCTCACAAAGTCAAATTACTCGGAATGAAGGGAAAGTTCTATAATTACGTTACGAACACCCCCGAGCAAAAATAACGCCACAACGCCCATAACTGTAGAAAGGTCGTTTCAGTGTTGCATATCAACGAAATTAGAAAGTTAAAATCGCAGTCTAGATGATTTATGGCCATAGCCTTTAATTTAATATCAATATAGTAGAAGGAGAAAAAACAAACAAACAAGCAACCAAGACGAAAACAAATAAAAGGAAAGAAGAAGTATTGAGAAAACTGGTTAGGTTTTCGAACCTGTGTTTCTACTTGAAGTGTTGAAATGAAGCTTTGGGAACGATCTTCGCCTTACGAAAAT